TAATAAAGGTCGTCGCAGGGTTTGGTGCCGCACCACTGTTTCTGGCAAATTCCGATTCTAGATCCTCATGCAACGCATCCGGCTTCAATGAGTGTAGGCATATTTTCAGGCAACTTTTAACTCACTCCGCCTCCATGAAACAGTTTCTTTCACTCAAATATAACGGTTCTTCTCGATTACACATGAGTGGACACGAAACGAGAATAAATGGCCTGTCAAAACTGGACATTTATCAACAAACACCCACACCCAACGGAGATGATCATGCAAAGTTGCTGATAAAAATAGATCATGCCGGCTCGATCTCCGCTGACAACCGGGAGACGCCTCGATATATGCTACTGAATGTTTGTTTAGCAATTAATCTTCGTAGAACCTTCGAAAACGGTCTTCTATTACAGTGCTTGTCTTTGCCGCTTAAAGCCCGTCTAAGACCATCATTCGTTAAGCGAAACATTGTCTATTATACTGTGTAATACAGAGAGGCAGTTGAGGGTAGACTTCGCCCAAATCACACAGACTTCCGAACAGTGTGTTACTATCAACAAATGACCAATTTGTCACTCCGCATAGGGTCGCTGTGCAATGCCGAAGATTCCAATTACCTTGCCAGTTTCCTCGACTTTAATGCTGCATTTGAGGCAGCACATTTTTGATGATTTGCAAATGTCTGAAGTGTCATGGGAGACCTGAGCACATCGTTTCTGTTGTAGAAGAAATATGTGCAGCAACCATGTCTGCTGTCAAAGTCGAAGGAGAGCCATCTGAGTGGTTCCCCAGTAATTGTATAATTCGTCAGGGAGATGTGCCCTCGTCTTTGCTACTCGACAACGTTATCCACTTTCCTTTTTTGAAACGGAGCAGGCCATAAAAAGATGAAGATCTCAATCCACAGCGAAAAAGCAGTTCACGATAAACGGCGAGATATCCTGCTCACCAAGAATAGGAAGCTACTATTTTCCTTGAGAGTTTCTTCACCTGACGGCTTGTATATGCAACACAGCTGCGAAAGCCGTTATATCTATTCTTTAACGCCCGGAAATTATAAGGAACCCATTCGGATGGACCGATCCACAGGTGTAACAACAAGACGAAACGTTTCTTAACGTTGACTAATTTAAGCTATCTCAGCTCCATCATCTCCAGCGATGGCACCATTCAGTCAGAGTTAAAGTTGAGGATTTCCTTAGCCTCGAGTGCTTTACAATGTCTATCCAGTATTTGGGCTGTGAAAGGAGTTACTCTTCCCATAAAGTTCCTTGCATCTTTTAGGTCAGCGTTGTTGTACAGCTTGGAGACAGTTGTTCTAATGAAAGAGCACCAACGAGTTGAACTGAGCATAAAAACACATAACGAGAGTTACATATTAGGAAACCAGAAAACAAATGGCGCTACATTTCCCTCAATAGATGTGGAGATTCAGAAAAGGGAATTGGTCCTGTTAGACGAACAGATTCAGCATGAACCGTTTACTCCAACGCATACGTTTCTCGCTTAGGTGCCGAAAGAGGATAGATGTCGACCAGGAAACCAACATGCAGCATGGAGAAACAAGGTAGAGGTAGATCTCATTTCAGGGATGAATATTTCCTCCTATCATGCGGTACACGACAGTGTCTTATAGCAAAATTATTGAAAAACAACCAACACGGAGAACCTCGCATATCACAGGCTTATGCAAACGGCTCAAGGTGATGGGCTCAACAAAAAACAACGAGCAACAAGACAAAAAATCAGCCCAAATTGCTCGTTTACTGGAAAAGTGTGAGTTTCCGATAAACTGGCGACAAGAATAACAATCTCAGGATTTAGACGCCTGAAAGCCATGCTAATAGGAGACTCGTGAATCCTGAAAAATGACACAGACTGATACTCAGTTATGATATTCATGCTGTACAGTATGGTCTGGAACGTCAAAACTTGGTAAACAACGGATTTATGTTTTGTTTACACACATCTTTGCATAACCAATGATTCAAACCCAGTCCGATCGCTGTTCATTTAAAGTCTAAAAACTCAATATGCGTTTTCAATCTTTTGTAACATGCCAAATCATGCAATTTGCTGCTGCCTAGTCTTAGTCAAACGAACTGCGCAAGGCATTTGACGCCACAGACAATAATGTAATGAAATTCTACCGTGGGAACCTATCCCAAGGATGCTACTATACGATGAACACTGAAATTGACTAATCGAAAAACACTAACTCAAGCAGACTTGGAGTCGCTTAGAAGAACCTCCTTTGCGGACGCAGTAAACAATTACGATTCTACCGATCGTCCAGCAAACCTCATTAGATTTAGCACTGCAGTCATGCTATGAAGCTTAACTGAAGATCACACACAATATGCAAATATTAAATATTTTTCCTAATATTCCGCCATAATCACAAACCGATTTACCCTGCAAAACCGAAGCACATGAAGTGAAAAGCTTAAAGTAGACGGGGTAGAAGAGCGATGTAGAAGAAAAAGAATGAGAACCGGACGGAAAACAATAAATGGGCATGGAAGGAGAAGAATAAGTAGAAACGGAGAAACGCAAAAAGGAGAGAGAAAGAGAAACGTGAGAAAGAAAAGAAGCAAACTGATCAGGAGGAAAACAACGATAATGAAAAGATGAGAAAAATAGAAGGGCAAAACAAAAGAGAAAGAGAAAACGAGTAAAAAGAAGAATAAACAAAAATATGGACATAGAGCAAATAGGAAACAGGATGGAAAATGAGGAAGCGGAAGAAGAAAATGAATAAAGAAACACGAGTAACGAGAAAGAGAGAGAGAAAACTGGAAGGAAACAGGAAGAAACTAAGGAGTGGAGAAAAAGGGGAAATGAGGGAAATGGAGAATACGGAGAAGGACAGAACATACGAGACGAAGGGGAAGGAGCAGAGATAGAGACACTAAGAATAAATAAGTGAAAAGAGGCAAGGAAGAAGGAAAATGAAGGAGGACACAGTCGAAGATGCATTTGACGTCGAGTTTCAAAAGTTAAACAAGAAGCGACTACAAAAGAATAGTTAAGCGCATAGAAAACCTTACAATGACTGGAATAATTAATGATGCATATACGCAAAGGTTTTTGAGGTCATTTAGAGTCACACATTTCATAGCGTGGTCGGTGTACTTTCTTCTTCAAGATAACAGACAACTTTTTTGCCAGGCTGTTAAATACCGGCAGTGAAATTTGTTCAGTGTAACGTTACTGTCTTCCGTTTTTCCCGCTTCTTCCTGTTGATATATTCATTGTTCTCCGTTCTACTAACTTTCTATTGTCTTTCGTTTCATCGTAATTTTTTCAAACTGGAATTATGCAAATGTTAATGATGATGAATAAGTGCTTAACTCATTCTTCTAATGAACAGCTCAACGTTTCTGAAGGCTTATGTATTTAAAAAATGTGCTCCAGAAAAAAAAACAAACTGAAAAGGTCATCGCTGACCAATCATGCAGAAAAGATCTGTCATAGCTTAGCGAATACACTGTCATTGTACACATAACTCGTCAAAGACCAGATTTCTTGGTGTATTGCACAGTTTCCCAGCTTCATGTCATTC